AGCAGAGCCTAATTTCTGAACCCAGGCTCTCCACCATGAGACTACTCTGTTTCCTCTCCTGTAAAATGGGGCTAATCATTCCAGCCACAACCATGATAAGAACCATAAGGAAAGTGGAAACGGAGGATCAGAGAGGTTAAGTGACTTGCTCAGATTTGCACAGTCAGCAGGTGAAGGGCCAGGCCTGAAGTGGGGCCCTGTGACTGCGTCGCCTAGTCAAGCCCAGAACCTACTGCGCAGTGGCTGCAAGTCCGGCCTTTGAGATCCTGTCATTTACTGGCACCTTGACCTGGAGAGCTGTTCATAGTTTCCGCTTCTAGAAAATACGGAAAATAATACCATCTCTCGGAATTCCTGTGAGTTCTCGGAGAGATGATACACAGACTGCATTTGGACGTAGGCTCGGCGCGTGGTAAAAATTCGAAACACAAGATTAAGGTGGGAACGTGACAGCATAAGGCTAAGATGCTGAGCTCAGAAAGAAAATATGCTAAAAGCATCAGCTCAGAGCCTTAGGGCCAAGGTTGGCTGGATCACAGTCCTGCCATTTGCCATGTGACAGTGGGGGGTTACTTAAGCTCGCTGGGTCGCAGCGGCCTCGTCCGCAATAACTCATAGGGTTTCTGGGAAATTTCAATGAGAAAACACAGCCCAGTGCTCAGAACAGAGAAGGACAGGTGGGTGGCACACAACCGAAGCTCACTGCTCTTCTCATCAGTGATGAGAAGGGACCTGTTGTTGTTACTACTCTATACTGCACTGCCTTTTGTTTAAAGAAAAACAAAACACAAAATAAAGCGTCTTGTCATGACTGTGCAAGTGTTCGACTTATAAGTGACCCTCCCCGGTTAGCATTCTCTCAGAAAAGAAAAGGCAGAGTATTGAAACGGGGAGTGAAAAGGACCCGCAAACCTTCCCTGGGAGAATGGGTGACGAATGGGCATCCTTTGGAGACAGAAAAACACCTCTTCTCCCTGAAGAGATGCCCCAGGCTTGGAGGGCCCGCCCCAGGTTCAGCCCAGGCCAGAACAGCCTCGGAGGGGGGGGGGCAGTGGGCCCAGACGCAGGGCCTGGGCCCTGCCATCTTGGTGGGTGCTACCTGCTGACTAATTCCTCTGTCTTCCTACGAAAATCACTGCAAATGTCTCTGCAAATACAAGGTCGCTGTTTGCTCCTTTCCCAAGACACTTTGCAGCGAAGGAGCTGAATGTCAAATGGACCCGCCGGGTTCCTATCCCGATGACAGCCCGGCAGGCAGCGAGGAGGAGCGATCCGTTCCCACCCTCCGATCCTTCTCCCCCTCTGCCGGTGGGGTGACGCAGTCCTTATCTGGAACTTGATAGGATGTAGAAAATAATTACAAATGAAAAGGTTATTCATAATTTTTAAATGAGTTAATTAGTAAACCCAGTCAGACTCACTCATTACAGTAATTAATAATTGATTAGACTCAAAATTAAACATAATTTTTCATCAAAAATCTAATTAAGTATCTGTGCTTTAGCCTGTTGATTAGATTGGTTGGCCTGCTGGAAAAAGAGTCTTTGTTAAGGATATTTATGCTTGGCTGAGACAATTAATTTGATTTTTAATAACTGATAGTTCCTTACAAGTTAGTCATCACGGCCTCTGCCTATGGCCCAGCGACAAGCTGCCCCTCCCTCACCCCGCAGCTGGAGATCGGCACCGAGGTGGCCGCCCAGCCCGGGAGGAAGCCAGGGACAGCCTGGCCCCTGCGAACACTCATCTGCATCAACGTACCCAGCCTCGCAAGCACCTTCTGAGGCAACGGGCCGGCCTGTTTCCTAGATGAGCACTCTGGGTTCAGGAAGAGAAGCTGCCCGAGGGCAAGGGGTGGCCAGGCGGCAGGGCTGGGAGTGCCATCCCAGCTGTCCGAGGCTGCGGTGAGCTGAGTCCCCTTGTCACGAAGGGAACAGCACCTCGGGCCTGCCTCTCTGACCTGACTCTTGGGTGTGGAACCTGGAGTCCAGTCCTAACGTTTCTACACAGAGAGGGTTTTATCCGAGAGATATATTTATTCCTGTCCGGGAGACATGATCAATCCCCAGTCAGTGCTGGAATCTTATTCCTACTATGTGGTCCTCAAGCTCTATTTGTACCCTTCTTGTGACAGGGAGCTCACTCCCTCCAACAGTAGTCCTCATCTTTAGACAGCTGATGACTGACACTCGTAACTGGGGACGCAAATCCCAGTGAATCGGCCTCAGGTCCCCCCTCCTTTCCACCCACAGCACCACCGTCTTAGTGGAAGCCGTCAGCTCCTCCCGGTCTTCTATTGCAATGGGGCCCGTCCTTCCTTCCTCCCTACCCTAATCTTTCTCAAGTAAAACCCGACTGTCCAGCCTCTGCTGTGAACCCTCCAAGGGCTTCCCGGGGCCGGCCCAGGAAGGTCCTTACCTCGGCCTCCGTGATCTTCATAATCTGACCAGACTCTCCTGCAAGTGACTCCACACCCCTCAAGAGCTCGAAACACAGAAGTGTCTTTGCCACCACTCTGTCCTCTTTCAAGTCTGAAACTTCTCTCCCTGCACGTCTGTTTGTGGTTCACTCTGACTGAAAGGTTCAGCTAAAACGTCACCTTCCCGGGGAGCCTCCCCCCGGCCTGGTGGGGCTGGGTGTTCCCACGGCCCCCGGGCTGGCTCAGTCACTGCCAACATAGCGTCTCCTTTTCTAAGCTACAAACACCTCAAGGGTAAGGACCATATTTTTAGCCCTAACACTCAGACTGTGCCTGGCTCAAAGCAGGTATCCCACATGGTTTACTGAGTGAAAAATAAAAACCACATAATCATAGATTCGAAGACTATCAAAAGTTGGAAGGAAAAGTCACACTCATCCAATAAAAATCTCCAGTCGATGCTTGAATCTTATTCTTACTATGTGGTCATCAAGCTCTGTTTGTACCCTACCTATGACAGGGAGCTCACTACCTCCAACAGTAGTCCCTATCTGCAGATAGCTGATGACTACCTATTTGTATAAATGGGAAAGGGAAGGAAGAAGCCCATAGGATAGAAATAGGAGAGCTTATGTCATCATATGAAGATCTAGTCTTTCTCCCTGAACTAAGGCTACACAGTCTAAACCTTAAGACTCATTGTAAACACGTCTAGACACAGCAAACCACTTGACTTTTGACGAACAGTGATGCTGATTGTTCAAAAGTCTACTTATCGAGGAAAATAAAAATGTCAGTCAAAAGCAAGAGTTGTGTTAGCGGTTTGCGGGGACACAGTATTGGTGGTGTAAGGAAGGGACTTTCACGCTGGGTGATGGTGCCTGGAACCCCACAACCCTCACCTCTAACCCATCTAAGTCCATCCATCACGCGCACCTCTCCCGGAGTCTGGTCGTTCCTTTCACCCAGTGACCCGTAGCAGGGAGGGCAAACACCTGGCATGTCATCAATACTCTCCACTCCTGTGACCATGACAGATATTCCTAATCAATCACAGAGACGCTTTCCACTGAGTCTGAATACAGCCTCAGGATCCTTCTCAACACAGTGTCCTAGGCAGCAATGACCAGTCACCTACAGACGAGATGAAACACGAAGGCCACCTGGGCTGGAGCCGTGGCGTCCTCTGAGTCAGTCTCCACACGGGGCACAGAGACTGGGCCTACAAAAGGAGGCTTGTTATCGCCTGAGATATTTAAGGAGCCTGCCTTCTTTTTAGGACTAACCTCTTCCTGATTACCTGTTCCTATGAAATTCAAGAACCTTGAGCGGGCAGTGACTTCACAGCTGGTTCATGTCGCCCAAACCCCCCCCCCCCCCCCCCCCCCCCCGTGCTCGAATCCCTTCTGCACGCCCTGAGCAGCCAGAGGCCCGCGCTCTGTGAGTCATCCCTGGTGACAGCACTGCCGACCTCTCCGGACAGCATCTGTTCAGCCTCCTCGTGGCACAGCCCTTCTTCACGATGGGCAGCGCCCTGTCTTCCTCTGGCCCGTTAGCTTGTTTCTACGAACTGGGCTTCTACTGAACACACCCCCTTTGCTGACACAATCATCTCAGAGTTCCTCAGCCCAGGTTCCAGGCCTTCTCCCGCTGGCCTGACCTACGTTCGGTCTTGGAATGATGGAAGGACAGAGGGTGAAGCCAACCCTGTCAGATGCCTGTACCAACAGGCTGACGTACACGCAGACAGCAGCCCCTGCACAATGCCTGCGATCTCTCCAGATCAACACCTTCCCTGGGAGCAGGGTGAAGAGGGGTCCGGGGAGGAAGCCAGGCCGGGCTGGAAATGTGTCAGAAGAGCACATAGTGGGAGCATCCTGGGGTGCAAGGCAATAGGCCAGGCATGTCTAACACCACGGAGGCCCTGGGGTCAGGTAGGAAGACCCACCAGTGCTGCTTGGGGCCTGTGCGCCTCCCTCGGCCACTCTGACTGCCCACTGTTGGTCCTGTACCTGAGGATTCCTCTCCTCTGAGCTCCCAACCATGGTTAATGCTGGACGGGCTCCCACAGCACCCTCAGACCACGCTGCCCGACCCTCACCGTCAGACATGCTTTCCTGGCCTGAGGCCAGCACCGTCCAGATGTGGGCACGTTCCTGCCGGTCCCAGGGCCCCTCGCCTTCCTGCTCCTCACCGCAGCGACATGGCATGGACAGGGGCAGCCTGCTGTCTGGCCTCTCCAGCCTGTTTCCCTTGTAGTGACTCCAGTGTGTGACACTCACGGCACAGAGCACCACCTCAAACACCAGCCTTGCTGAGTGCTTACGCCTGATGCCAGGCGTCCAACAGGAAAGAGAAGGCGCTAAGCTCACTTTCTGGAACACGTTCAGAGAGGAGAAGAGGCCCCGAGGAGCGGACCTTACAGATTTGGGGTGCAGGCCGTCCCAGGGCTCCAGGGCGGCTGGGCCCTCCCTGCCGCGGACGGCCAGGCTGGCAGCCCCTCCGGTGCCCACAGGTGTCTCGGCCACTGCCCTCTGGGCCAAGGGGCGTCCAGGGAAGCTGGGGCGAAGGAGGTGCTTACCCACAAAGTATGCCAGCAGGATGACTAGCGTGGCCGAGATGACGATGGCGCTCAGAGCGGCACACTTCCAGTTGCAGTACTTGGAGGGCTTCTTGAGGTTGAAGGCGGGCCGGGAGAAGGTGCTGCGAGGCAGGGGCCGGGGTGGAGGAGAGTACACTGTGCTGGAAGTCAGAGGGTACCCTGGTGAGGTGGTGCAGAAGAGCGGGGAGGTGCCTCCTGGCTTGAAGAGGAAGTGCCTGTGGATGGAGAGAAGCCAGAGGGCGTGAGGGTCGGCCGCTCACCCGGGACCCAGATCCGCCTGGCGGACAGAGGCGCAGTAGAAGACGCATGCAGACGAACCTGGAGACAGAATCACCACAGAGAAGACGGAGGAACAGGAAGAAGAGAGTCACACACCAGACCACAAAACAGGGCACACGAAGACAGGTTTCCATGGAACACGGATGGGACAGCCCTACCCAAGGGGAAAACTGCCCAAGCCAAGGCAGAAGGTGTTACCTACTCGACAGAAGGCTGGGTGTTGAGATCCTTTTCCTGGGAAGGGATGGGGCTGGAAATGTTATTTCTTGGAGAAAGAACTAGCTCTTCTCCAAAATTACTGCAGTAACTTGGAAAGTGTCTAAAATCCTGTTCTGTTCCCTGGAGATAATGCAACCTAAAGTTTTCCTTCTCCCTCCAAAACCTACTTTGCCAGTGCATCTTGGTGAAGGAATGGAAGAGCATTCTTTCGAAAGAGGGCTTTGGAAGCGAGAAGCAAGCAAGCGCCACTCCGTTCTGCCATGGTCCGGAGCCCCCGGTGGCTGTTACAGAGCCAGTGGCCGCAAAGGCCTTCAAAGCGCTCTGCTCAGAAGCCAGACTGCGGACTTCCAAGGCCCTGGTAAAAGCTTCGTGGGAGGACACTCAGGCAACTGCATCCTGCAGCCTAGCTGCAGAGTCTAGGGCAGCGTGGCGAGGTCCAAGCACATGGTTGTGGCCAAACTGGGTATCAGGACATCCTCTACAGCTTGACTTTAACCATGGCCATGGGAGGACTTGTACACAGCCTGGGAAATGGGGTGCACTGGTTGCACTGCATCCCCACTAAGGGTCAAGGATAACTCTCAGGGGTACTCTCACACACTGCTATGGTGCAAGAAGCCTCAGGCCACAGAATCCATACTCAGGGCCAGAACACATATCCTACCAAGGCCTGTGCTGCATAAAAATTGCTACATGAGATGGCTTTCAAAATGGCAGAGGCAGCCAATGAGATGCCGGGAGCTGCATATTAACAAGACTGCTGTTAATATGCTGGGGGACAGGTATTCCAAGGATACACTCTTGCAATCCGAATGGGGACCTGGGAATGGGCATGCAGCATGGCATCATCGGCTCCCCCGGCAGATCCCAGGGAAAGGTCTCAGGGCCCACATGCAAGCGCGGGGGCCGCGGGGAGTGCACACACAGAGGAAGAGCATGGGGATGTCACCTACCCGTCACTGTAAGCCCCATCATGGCGGGAGGCGCTGAGAATGTCCATCTCAATGAGGTTGTCCTGCAATGTCCCTAGGAATGGCTGCTTGCCTAGGTTTCTACACACACATGGAGACATGAATGAAGCAATGAGTCATGCATCGATGAAGGGGGAGAGTAGAGAAACACACAAAGTGGCTGTCTGGTGCAGCTGTGCATGAGACCAGCGGGGCAGTTTCCAGGCGATGGGTCTGTGTGCAAGCCGCATGTGCAAGGGGTCTGCCTGGCGCAGAGCATCCAGAGGGAGCATTCTCTGTACCAACCAGAATGACTGGCCACTGTGTGCATCAAATCACAGCCCTCACTGATGAAGGCTGATTATGTCTCGGGCACTGAGCTAAGCGTGTTACATCCATTTACCTTAAATCTTCAAAATAGGCTATGCAAGGCAGGCAGAACTCTCCCCATTCTACAGATGAGGAGACTGAGAGGTGGAGAGGTAGCAGGACTTGCCAAACTCACCAAGCTGACCAACTAGCAAAGTTTGAGCTCAGGTTTATCTGGCTCCAAAGCCTGTACTTTCTCCTCTACTTGATATTGCATAAGCAATAGCTACCACACTCCTTTTGCCAGTCCCAAGAAAAAAGACAGGCCTTTTGGGCCATTTTCTTCTAACGCAGTGGTTCTCAAACACAGGTGAACACCATCAACACCTGGAGAGCTGTGCTTTCCTGAGGGCCACCCCCAGAGATGTGGAGTCAGTAGGTGGGAGCAGGGCCTCCAAGCTGATGCTGACAATGTTCGGAGTGTCATGTCCTTCAGCGGACATGATGAGTGAGGAGTGCTTGGTGAAATGGCACCATGCCGAAGACAGGGGGCTCTGTGTTCCCCAAGTGCACTGATGGCAGCCTTTTGTGACTTGATCTATTTCAAACCCAGAAGGAAGACAGACACGCTACCCATTTTGGGGTCTCCACCATGCCTGCTAAGTGGCCTCATTCACACCCGAGGGCCCTGGACCCTGTTTCTGACATTTTCAGGGCTGCTGCCACCTTGCCTGGAAACCCGAGTGAATCATGTCCAACAGGCTGGGGGCGGCATCGGCTGGTGGCTCAGCCTGCTGCGTGCACGCGACGGAAGGACTGACCACGGGAAGCGGGCTTTTGGGTCCAGCCCTGCCAGGGGCCTTTTTTCTGACTTTGACCAGGTCTTGAGAACCAGAAAATCCTTTTCTGCCACTTTCTTACTGTGTGACTTTCTGTAACAACTTTAAATACATATAGTTTAATCCTCACCTGAGGATATTTTTTATTGATTTTAGAGAGAGAGGAAGGAAGGGGGGAGGAGAGCGAGAGAGGGAGGGCGAGAGAGGGAGAGGGAGAGATGCGAGAGAAACATCAATCGGTTGCCTCTCTTATGTGCCCTGATTGGGGATCAAACCCACAACCTAGGTACATGCCCTCACTGGGAATCAAACCCAGAGTCTTTTTTGGTGTACAGGATGATGCTCAACCAACTGAGCCACCTGGCCAGGCTCTGTAAAAACTTTAACCTCTTCTACTTGTGTGCTTCCTTCCTCTGCAGGACGGAGATAATACTCATTGTAAACTTACAGACTTGCTGTGGGATCGACTAATTCTGGAGGAACTGCTAAAGGCTGACCAAACACTGGAAACACGAACTTGGAAGGTAAGAGCGGCCGCCGACCCTACTTGTCCGTGAACCACTCACTGTTCCGGAGCTCTGCAGCTCAGTCCTCTCGACAGCCCTAAGCCAGCGCCATCGTCTTTGTTCCGCAGGCCGAGAGGCAACTTCCCTGAGGTCCCCTCACAGAGTGAGCAAGAGCCAGAATGGATCCTCGGTGTGTCGCACCCCAGAGCTGTGGCCTCAGCTCAGAGCCCTGTCAGCCCAGCCTGCGGCTCTGCCCCCGGCCGGCCTCACAGACCCAAACGAGGAGGGGCTGTACGTCCCCTCACAGCGGCGCTGCGCTCACATTCGCAGGGACAGCCAGGGTGTTGCAGCTGGGGCCCCAGTGCTGCCATGTGGTGGGGGCCTCCCCTTCCAGGGAGGCCTGAAGCCCGTCTGGCAGGCTGTTCTGTGGCGTTCAGAGACCTGGGGACTCCCACAGTGCCTGCGAGGAACTGAGGGGTGTGGGAGTCCCTCAGAGGGACCTCATTTCTGCTGCTAGGGAGGTGGCCTCATGACACACTGAGAGGCACATAGGCCTGGGCTTAGACAGGCCTCAGCTCCATCACTCACTGTCCCTCAGGCCAGGGAGCTGGTCTCAGATCTCAATGAGTGTTAATAAACTGAGACAATCACTCTCCTTATAGAAGCTAACGCGTCATTTGGATCATGCCACTTCTCTGTTCTCAACCCTCCACGAGAATAAAACCATGGTCCTTCCCAGGCCCGCAAGATCTTGCGAGATCGGACCCCCTGCAGCCTCTCCAACTTCCTGTTTCGAGCGGCACACTTGCCAGCCTCCTCGCTGGTACTGGCACGCCAAGGCCCTGCTGCCATTCGCCGGAATCGCCTTCCGCCAGGTGTGGGCCCAGCTCATCCCCCTTCTCAGGGCCCACGCCGCCTCCTCCCCGGCGCCCCTGGCCTCTTGCTCCGCTTGTTTCCTCTGGACTGTCACACGCCACACACATACGCTTATTGGAATTCTTTTTCCGAAAGGAATTTAAGATCCATGAAGACAGAAATCTGTCTTGTCCTCTGTCCATGTGCCCAGAGTCCGGCAGAGTGCCTGGACCATGGCAGTAGGCACTCAGTATATATTTGCTGCAAGTTTGACTGGTGGGTGGAAAGGAGAACCCTCCTGGCATTCTGCGGACACGCGGCTGGCATTGAATCAGGAGTGGCACAGGTGATGCTGTATTATTATGAGCTCCATGCCCTGCATGTTGGGAGGGAACCTTCCATCTCTCTAGAGTCCACACAGCAAGGTCAGCAGGCCCTCACTGCCCCTGCCCAGGAGGCCCAGGCCGCACTCCGGCTGCCTCCCCGGGGCCCGAGGCTGGCTGCGTGGCACGTCCCAGCGAACACCTGGAGTCCGGCCTGCACTGCTATGCTGGGACTATGCTCTCAGTGAGGCAAATCTATACCGTAAACACCATCAGAAACACACACATCTATTCAGAGGGGAAAAAAGACATAGAGGATAAAGACCAAAATGTTAAGGGTGGGGATTTTGTAGTGTCTGGATCTAGAGTGATTTTTATGTTTACTTTTATAATTCAAAAAGAAACTTATTTTATTTAAAAAAACTTTTTAAATATATTTTTATTGATTTTTTTTTTTTTTTTTTTTTTAGAGAGAGAGAAAGGGAGAGAGAGAAACATCGATGTGAAAGAGAAACATCCATCGGCTGCCTCCTGCACGCCCCCCACTGGGGATGGAGCCCACAACCTGGGCATGTGCCCTGACCGGGAATCGAACTGGGACCTCTCAGTCCATGGGACCATGCTCAATCCACTGAGCCACCCTGGCTGGACAGAAACTGTTATTTTAAAAAGAGAGAAACAATTATTTTAAAAGCACAGATGTCTCAGGACAAGGGACGCAGCAGTGCAACAGAACAGGAGTTTCTAGAGAGCAAGAGTGTGAGGTTCCCCGAAAGAGCTCCCACACTTGCTAATTGGGGGACACGCGTACTTGCTGAAAATGCTCTCTATTCAGAATGCTACTGCCTCCTTGAAGTAATCTTATCCTGCACTTTTAAAACTTAGTTCTGGGTCAAATGACTAGGCCTCATTTGATTGCTGATGAACTGGAGGCCCAGAGAGACACATGTCCACTCCCATCCACACAGCCGGTCAGGGGCAGAGCTGCGACTCACACCTAGGCGTCCCGACTCCTGGTTTAAGGCTCCCCACTAAATGTCCTGTCCACCTCCCACTCCCAACACTCTGAGTATCCAGTTCTTCTGGAAAACAAAAATTACAAGGATTTCCTGGTGGGGACCTTAAGTTGCTGAGCCCTTCTTGGGCCACAGTCTGGTATGGTCTCCAGCTCACTACTGCTAGAAGTCAGAGTATGGACACTGGATTCATGTGACCCTCATATACCCTGGGAAACCGAGGCCCAGATAGCTTAAGCGACTGCCCAAGATCATATGGCAATGACGAAAGGTAGCAATGGGACTCAAACCCAGATCTCTCAGACCTCATGGCCCCAAGGGGACTTTCAGGAAAGACTTTCGAGGACATGGAGGGGGACCTGCAGCCAGGCTGTGCTGTTCTTAATGCTTTTCTTAGAGTGGGGAGGGGACTGGCTCCCCTCTAAGGCTGAAGGGAAGCCTTGGGCTAGTTCCCGAAGTGCCTCAGGGCAGGCTGAGCTCACCTCCCAAGGGCAGAACAAACAAGTTTGGGGAAGGAAGTGGCCAGGGCATTGCAGTGGCCAGTTCTCCACTGCTGCCCTGTTCAACAGCCCGTCTTCTCACAATGAGCCTGCTGTCTGGGACTGTGTTTCGGCCCACCAAGCCCTGGGGCAGCCACCAGTAGCGCAGGCTGGGTAGGGATCACATCCCACATTCTGTAGTGAGACCCCCAGGTGTGCAGGGTGTCAGCGACTCAGCCAAGACCACACAAAGACAACTGAACAAATGCGTGAACAAAGAAACAAGAATAGAAGCAAGTCTTCTAGGCCATCATGATCCTTTTAAAAGGCCAGTTCCATAACATTGCTCTCAAAAGAGGCTGAAAACTACTCATCCCCACTTCTCCCACCCTCGGCCCCAATGGCCACAGGAAATGTGTAACTTCTTTCTCACGTAACTCAAGGCCCTCCACTACTGACCCCCATTCACTCTCATCTCCTGGGGCCCCTATGCTCCCATGTCACCCAACACTTAGTCATCTCTCCAAAATCCCAAGCTGTCTCTTGGCTCTGTGTCTCGGCCCCACTGTCCCTCGTGTGACAATTCCTTTCTCCCCTGTAAGTTTCTCTAAGGGCATGCCAAAGAGGCTCACTTTCCCCATCAGGTGGCACTGAGTGCAAGGATTCGAGTCACCAGGCCTGGTTATGGGTCCTGGCCCTGCCACGTAGGGGCTGGCGCTGAGTCCTTAGGCAAGTTACTGCGCTTCAGATTCTTTCAAGTGGGGATGATAATAAG